CAATAGCAGCAGAGGAGAAGCGCAGATTAAAAAAAAAAAAAAAAAAAAAAAAAAGCTGGTAATAAAGTATAGGTAAATTTTACAGCATGAGCATCTTGACTATTAATGAAACAGTAGCAAAACGAGCCTGTTCTTACCTCAGATAGTTAATTTGTGCACGAAAACAGAAAACTGTCACTTTCCACTCCCTGCGCAAGAGATTTTGAAAAAAGCTGTTTCTTAATTACACCAAACATTAATAACTACTGAATCAAATAACTGAATTATTTGTAAGTAAAAATTTCGTGAAAACATTTATTGTCTGTAGAAACAAAATTTACATTTATTTTATATAAACTATGTTAAACATACATATAAACATACCTACATCTTACTATATATCCTTATGAACGAGGCTTTTAGATATGGAGTAACATTGTCAAAAGCACCGTCGTGGACTCAAAGACTACAGACTTAAAATGCATTTGCATTTAACTCCAGCTTCAGTAGTTTAAAAATGCCATTTCTTATCCACACTTACAAATAATTAAAGGCTTCTCTAACAGTGTGTTTCCATGTGCACATACACGTACACATACACACATTAGACAGTCCTTGAGAAACTACAGTATAAATAACATCAACCATCTATTCCTTAGAAGCGGACATTAGTTCCCCTCATTCAAATGGGAGTAGAAAATTCCTGCTATTCTTAAAACAAAACAATGAGGCTTTCTTTATTCCTTGAAGAACATACTCGAACAACAACTCTTTCCACTGCCTCCTCCCTCAATACTAAAGACGTGAGAAGCCAGTCACAAAATGAAAGCCATCTACTACATTATTTACAGAAAATGAAATATTAAAAAGACAACATGAGATTCAGACTACTTAGACAAAATTCAGAGCAATGAACAGTGAACAGAAGAAAACTGCATTAAAAGTGGCAGGCTATTAAACCATGTGTCTAAATACCTACTCAAAATCCCTCCAACAAAAACCACCAGGCATGGAAGGAAGGGGCAGGTGTTATGACAAGAGTTTTCTCTGATCTTGACACTGAAAAATAATGTTCACAAAGCTCAAAACAGAACACACTTAAATGTTCATGGCTATCCTTAAGGTCTGTTAGGGAATCAAGTGTCACAAGGAGGCTTTCAACAATCTTGAAATGGCTTTATTCTTTCTTTCCTTCGTAAGGAGGCTGAAGAACTTCTTATCTTCAAATTCTGCAGCAATGGAATGAAGTCTGTCAAGGGTCAGAGTTACGTGCAGAAACATCTTTTTTTTCAGATTCATTAGGATGCAAGTCTGAAGTCTGTCTTTTAGAGAGCTCTCCCACAAAGAACCTTGTAGATTGCTGTTCAGATGCTTAAAGAAAGGCAAGAGGTGGATTTCAACACAGTATGGGAAAAGCCTCCCTTTAGAAAAGCAAGGAAATTAAAGAAATCCCTCTATTTACAGTCTTCTAAGGTGAATACTGAGAAATCAGTCTCTCTTTGTTATGATCTTTTATCACCTTCTTCAAGCGACTCTCATTATCCATTTCACAGACAAGACAGAAAATGACTTTCTGATGCATAACAATCAAGTTTTGAGAACTCTGCCTCTAATGCGACAAAAGTGTAATCCTGGGGTTTGGTTCTGTTTGTAAAGCAACTAAGCTCATTTAAATAAAACTCAGCATTTCAGCCTGGGGCCCTAGGGAAGATGGGAGCAGGTAAACATTACACAGCAGGTGATGGATCAGCTGGACTTACTCCTATCCTCTGCTATTAGTTACCTGAGTTGAGACAGCTACGTTCAGGTCTCAAGACCATCTATATCCATCAGGTAAAACGATTTCAAACATGCAATTATGAGTTAAGGCAGGCTTATAGAAACCTTGCAATATGTTGCTTCTTACTGGCCCAGAATTTTGTGAACCTTGTGAACTCAACAATTACAAATTTAAAGTAAGTATTCTAATCAATTTATGCAGAAATTAAATGGATCAGCAATATAAATGCTAACATCATAGCAACTTAGTATTTCAGACACTTAAAAGGAAGACTCTAGTCATATTAAACCCATTACATTTTGGATAGCAATTAAAAATAAAATTTCACATGTGAACAACTGAAAATGACAGCATTTAACAGCCATTTCAAGCTAAACAAAACAAAGGCAATTCACATTTGTATTTTCAAAGTGTAAAACAGAAAGTCAGAAAGCTCTTAAGACAATCACATTTTTAACTTGCCCTTCCAATGCAGTGACAGACTTTACTAATGAAAGAGTCACTGTTTTCCTACAGAGGCTTACACACCTATTTAAAGTAAACAGTTGTTTTAACAAGAACTGCTATCAGTCCATGCTCTCACTAGAAAGATTGCAACGAACTTATGTCTCTGTACATGTGTTTTCTACAATGCAGTCACAATATTGAAAGGCACCAGGTTATTCAAGTAAATTGACCTTTCTTCTACTTAACCCTTTTCCTTGTGCCTTCACAACCCAAACAGTAACTTCAATACATTGCCCTCAATCAAACACTGTATTCCAGTAAAACAGAATTTTCTGTGCTAAAACAATAAACAAGCTGAATTGGGTATGAGTATATACACACAAGTCTCTGTAATTCACAAAGGTATATCTACATAGCAATGTCTCACATCATATCATAGACTAGATGCTTCTAGCACCTAAGCCATGAATTTTTATAAAAGTCATTATTTCTGTGTGCATTTTTTAGAATATAAGAGGTTTTATCATGACAAAATCCAAAACTATTTAAGTAAAATTATCAGTAAAAATGTGATTTGAGCAAATGGGATCATACAAAAGATAAACCAACTGAAACAGTGACTACATTTCATGACATTCATCTTAGGACCATGGGTGGGGGGGACCAAAGTCAGCAAACAAGTCAAAAAACCCACAAAACTTCTTTGCAAAATGTTGCTCCCAGTTGCAGAAATAAACACAAAGCTAAACTGTAAAGTACAAAACAAATTAACCATGCATAGATAAAATAAATCACAAAATCAGGAGTCAGTCACATGTTGAAACCTGGTTAAAGCAGCATTAACTGACTGAAGTCTGACTACTCCAGCATTACTTCCAAACAGTGTTAGCAAAACTACCATGTCAGAAGTTTCTTCATGTATTCACTTTTCCCACTTTACTCAACAAAGAGTTCTTTTCCAGAATTTAATAAGAACACTGCAGGAAGCTTACAGACACAGTAGTATCCTGTTGAATAAGACAACACAGCCTCAGTAGTTTGTCCTGTATCATAAATGGTTTCATTTCTCACATCTTTTACAGTGCACATTCAGAGCAGTGTGAAGGACTTGCTGGCTTCAGGGTAAACCTGCCCCTCTCAGCAGGGCAGTGCTGCACTCCCCTGCCAGCAGCCTGATCACAACTGCAGCTACTCCACATTTGCTTTGGGTTGACTCATTTAACCTGTTGTTTCAGTTTCTTATTTTTATCTCCCAGTAAATCTACACAGGATGACTCTGCCAGATTAATCACTGACAGCATGAAGTAAAAAACCACTTTCTTATCTGCAGAAGGTTGCCTGCCTCTATTTGTCCAGGGAGTTCCTTTCCTTCCAATGCCCATTTTGTCTCTGCATTTTAAAGTTACTGAAAAAACTAGTTAAATTATTAATGATTGTTATTTAAACTGAAAACCTGTGTTTTAGAAACAAACCATCTGTTATCATTGAATGACCGTGACATCAATGAATGTTGCACTCTTCCTGCCTTATTCCCTATGAACATTAAGCAGAACACCCATGAAACTGAAGAGCTCAAGTCACAATAATTTTAGCTGTTCTGAACCATAATTACATTTTCAAACAGTCTCTCTACTGAAGGCATTGTGGAAAAAAACATTACAAAAAAGCATGCAGAAATCACATCCTGGCTTTCCACCCAGAAAACCAAATTTCGTTTCCTGTGAACATACCTCTAATCCAGAACTGGAATTCTGGTCTACCAGCCACAACAGAGACCAGCCTGCATTCTAGATGGAAATACATCTGCCTGCATGTATTGAAGATATTGTGAATTAACTTTTTTCTTGAAAAAGAACATCTCTTAAGACTACGTGCTCTGCATCTTTAATTTACTGTCAATAAGAAGTCTGAACAGATCTGCAATACATCCACACAACCCTACCATAGATAATGAATTAAGGCAAGGGCTATAAACAGGAAATAAACACAATACTGTTTATAGCTGCTTATGAAACAGGTCTGGCTATTTGAGTTTTGCACACAGCTTAACAATACTGCAGTATGGTAAACTTCAGAGAATCATTCAGAACAAAATCACCAGCTGTCTGCATTTAAAGCAGTTTCAATCATGAACAATTTCTTTGTTAGAAGACACGCTTTCAAAAACTTACACTTTTGCTTTTCTTGTAATTTAATACTTTAGGCGCCAATTTTAGAATTCACAAAATCATCAAATAATTTATGATGAAAAAGATTAGAGAACATGTGGCTTGGCCAAGAATCTCATACACTGAAATATGAGACAGAATAATTTTGAATACAGACCAACCAATCTTCTAACAAACCCAAGCATGCTTTCAGTGCAGTTATAAGCTACTGCTACAGTACTTTACATAACTGCCTGTTACCATTAATTTTAACCAAATGCTGAAAGTTGTCCCAACATTCTAACAATTTACAAATGTATATACACATCAGAAATCCAAGTGTATTATTAATCCAAAGTAATACAAAATACTGTGTTATGGAAATGACTGAACAGAGGTGTAAAATCTATTGCACAACCTAAAAGGTCATTAACTGGAAAATCCTGAGCTAATGTGCTATTACCAAACAATTCAGGCACTTTTTTTTTTCTTTTTTATTATTACATTAGCAATAAACTTTCAACATAGAAACCTCTAGGTATAACAACTCAAGTTCCATCTGTAACATCATGCTTGGAGAAAAAGTACTCAATAAATAAGACTCCCTTCAATGACTTCCTTACTTGAGACTCGTATGCACACAGAACTAAAGGTACATAATATGATGTTTTAATTGAATACTGTACTTTAAAAGCAATTATTAAAACTGTAAAAAAGTTCTGCAGCATTCAAAATAAAGTTATTTTTTAATCAAGAAAGTTACAGCATTAGTTCCTTTATCCTTTTTTAAGTCTTGAGAAAGTTGTCAAAAACTGAATAGATGATCCCTTTGCTGTGTTGTCTGTTTCAACTTCAGGATCTCAGCTCAGTTCAGGTTTCTGTTGCAATATTTAGATTTCCCTACACAGAGAAAAAAAAGAAAATCATTACTGTCAGTTGTAATAGCAGAAAAACCCTCCCAACCTTCCTAAGTGCTGTATGTAAAATGCAAGGTTCTTTCAATTATGGACTCAAACACCACAACTATAAAGAGCTTACCTTAAAAAATACATATGTATCATTATTACTTCAAATGAAATAAAGTGAAATAAAGATGTTCAGACCTGTTTAACAGATCTTAACAAGCTTTATCATCACAATAGGCAAAATGCTACAATTTCAGGAACAGTTTTAGTTTTTAGGAATTAGCCAACCAGCAAACAGTATGCTGTTAAGAAAATGGTTGTCATACCTATTCTTCAGGGTTTATTTTACTTTAAATTCAGACACACTCAAATTCAGCAGGTGTAAAAAATCCCATAAAATTCAGAAGTTACTGATGAATCTCTGATTCAGTATCTAGCCGCCAGCATGTTTTAAGTATGCTTTATAGGTTCCAGACAAGAATCTTAACAGCCAATTATAGAACAACACTGGAAATAGCTCACAACAACAAATTGTAACATTGCTATAGCCATTTCACAAGGTCATAATCGGGGGAGGGGGGGATATCTTTCTCCTATTTTCCACTAATTCCAATTCAATTTAGCCTTCAAAGATAATACTTCTCAGAGCCCATGCAAATAGAAGATATATTTTCCCAGACACTTCAGTTACAAGTGATCTCTTTACCTTGTTTCAAGCGCTTGGTTTTCTTTCTGACGGTTGGGTGTTTTTTGTTTGTTTGGTTTGTTTTTTATAAGTGTGTTTCCTTAAGGGGTGTTGGGGACTTTTTCTTCTGCCCACTGGGCTGTAAACTTGAGGAATTTTGCAAACAACCGTAAGAACCTGTGCTTTAAGGTGCTTCTGTGCTCCAAGAGCTAAACTCTAATCCAACTACAAATGCTTATTTATTCAAGTGTGTTTACTTGTAGCTGGATGGACACAGAGTTACAAAACAAAAACTCACACAGAGCTGCAAGGGGCTGTGTAGCTCATATAATCCAATTCCCCCATGTCACAAGTAACTTCATACTACTTTGATCAATTCCAATAAAGGATTTAGTATGTTTTAACTACTGATCCTCACAAAAGCTGCAACATTTTATATGGCTCAAAAGTTCTTCTGCAGTTCAAGATTATTGTTGGCCCATACACTCTGCAAATCAAAGCTTAAGTTTATCAAACTATTTTACACAAGACATTATATTGTGCAGGAAATTTTGTTCAGAGCAGCACCCCAGTGAATACTCTAAAGCACATAATTACGGAAACATAACAAAAAAGGAGACGCACAAATGTATTAAAAAATTAATATCCTTCTCTTAGATTAAACAGGATAGAATATTTTGTTTCACAAAGACACAATTTCTGGTCCTGTCAGTAGGAAGAGAAATCAGCTGAGCTTGAGGAAAAAATACTGGAACAGAAGGAACCACAGAATCTCAGAGGGCATCTCTGATTTGCAGTTACACAAAGCAAGTTTCAGCAAGTTTCCATAGAATAAACAGAGAGGAAACAAGAGTGCACAACAAGAGTCAAGTTTGCCAGTGAAGTACAAAGAGCCAATATCCCAGGAAGTCCCATCCAAATCATCCCATGGAGATTTAAAAATCAAAATGGATCTTATGAATATGCATATTTTACAAATGGCTTAGTGAAAAATAAATTAATCCAACTTACCTTTTCTTTCCTCAAAAATCCATCTCTGAATTTATTAGTGGCAAATCCCCTTACACCAACAGAACGTAACCGCTGGTACTTTGCCTGAATATATAAACCCTTCTGCACTAAGCCTGATTTATAATGGGATTGCAAACGGCCATCTGCAAAGTTGCTCTGTAAGGGTGGGGGAAAGGAAGAAAAAAGTGTGCAAAATGAGGGCACCAAAACTCAAACAGTTCATATTTACAGCTATACACATGTAAAACCTCCAGTACTCAATGACAGAAGCATGCATTGCAAGTGCACACCCTCTTCCTTTACATCCATGTATTATTTCTCAGACCACAGGACTCAAAGAACTGGTGTATTGCACTTGCTGTTTAAAACATAGGAAATTATCTTCCTTGTAGGAAAAAAATAAATGCATTGTACAACATTTTTACAACCATTAATGAGGCACAGTCCATCAACAAAACACTTTCACCTCACTGCCACTACCCAATTCAGTGATGCCAAGCCTGCAGCAGGCACACATTGAGTCTGAAGTGTCACACTAACACAAGTCAGTACACATGTTTTTCTTAGAGCTTTAATGTCTGACAGTCTGAACACACAGGCATTTTCTATGCCTTTGATACCTCCACACTGGAAAACTGCAAACTAACCTAGTGTGGGACTAGGAGCAGAGGCCACAGAGGTATCAGAAGACTTAAAGGTGAAAGGTATTATAAAAACACAGAAAGGATATAGCAAGATCAACACTGATCACAGTGGCTAAAGTTTGAAAAAGATTTTCATTCCTAGGCACTCAGATCTCCAATAAATAAGCAGTAAATGTCTTTAGAGTAATAAAAATGTTATTTATCGTGATTTTCCATAGTTTTACAACAATGCCATTTTAAGTTTTCCAACAGCTACTCCAAATTCAAACAATGAGTTTTCATCTAAAACCAGAGAAAGCCTTCAGGCCATATAAATTCTTCTTATCTTTTACCTTTGAAGGGCAGGAGAAAACAAAATATGTCACAGAAACAGCCTTTCTTGAGCATGACAAAATTCCTTTGGTGAAATGTCTCATTTTGACAGAGCAAAGATCACTTCAAGAAAAATCACATGCTCTGAGACTGCAATAACTTTAGTACCACTTTTTCCACTGTGTTTTCCACTGTGTGGCTGGTGAACAATAAAGAAAGAACTGTACAGAACAGAGGTTTCTTTATGCACATGCAGAGGTTCTGTTATTTCACAAATCATTTCACCCAGCTACTTTGCAGGAGACAAGTGACAATCTGGCCCCATCATTCATTCCCCCAGGGTTACTCTGACGGAGAACACTTGCAAATGCCCATTCAATGCCCATCACTTTCCTGGAGAGTATCAGAGTGCAGGCACACCAGGCACAAAGAACTTCCTTGCACTAGGTTGTATGACATAGGTATGTGCCTATCACAGGGAAAAGTGAAGGGCACTTTTAATGCTGGATTAATGCCCTGAACACAGCACTAGAAGTTCCCATTTCCCCATTCCTGCTATGGTTCCCTTGACTTCAGTGACTAGAAAGGAGGCCTTGGTGGTCGGCCACTGCAATTGTATGGCAATAAACAAAGGACTAGAACAAGCAAGGGATGGGGAAAAGGTGAAAGGTATTGAAAATTGCCTTATAAACAGCTCAGACTTTTCAACTTAAGCATCTATGTGTTCTGTAAGTGGGAAGGACACAGCAGTAATATTAATGTAGAGCAGCATCAGTTACAGACAAAGCTAACAGATTATATATACATTTGACAAATAGGCACCTCAGTCACACACAGCTTATAGCAAAACAAGATAATCTAAAGTTTGTGGAAAACATCAAAACTTTTGGTCTAGAAATAAGAAAAGAGTCTGCTGAAGTGACAATCCAGGTTTACATTAGGACTGTTATAAATAATGCTAATGACAATCCCTAGGAGCCTGAAGCTCTAAAACAAGGGTATGTGAGTAAATATATATGGCTGCACTGTGTGGCAGGGATGGAGTTAATTTTCTTCACAGCAGCATGCATGGTGCTGAGTTTTGGATTTGTGGCTAAAAATGCACTGGTAACACACCATTGCTTTGGCTATTGCCCAGCAGTACCTGCACAGCAGCAACATCTTCTCCTCTTTCCTTACTCTGCTGCTCAGAAAGGACACCAGGGTGGGCAAGAAGCAGGGAGGGGACACAGCCAGGACAGGTGGCCCAAGCTGAGTACAGAGATGTCATACACCATATGATCTCCTATGGAACAGAAACTGGGGGAAGGGGGTTTTGGAGGAAGTAGCCATTGCTTGGGGACCAGCTGGGCATCAGTCACCTTGTGACAGATGGTGAGTGACGGCCTTTGCATCACTTTTTTCTTCACTACTTAAAACTGTCATTCATCTCAACTCATGACTTCTCTCACTTTTGCTCTCCACGTTTTCCATCCCATCCTGCTGGGAGAGGAAGGCAGCTGAGGGGAGGGTGGCAGCAGCTGTGTGGTGCTGTGCTGCTGGCAGGGGTGAACCCACCACAGCCAGTAATACACTGAACTTTTTTTAAGCAGTGAATGCAGTTTAGTTTTAAAGATCACTTTGCACTTACTTGCTTAAAGGCTGACTTAGTGATTCATGATAAAAGAGTCATTACAAAAAAGACCTTTTAAATTTTGTAAGACTGCTCCAGATCCTTTATAAAGTATTTTAGAACAGCAGTTTTTTCTTTTCTCAAAAACACAGTGCAGACCATATGTTTTTTTTAAATACTCTGAGTAGTCATCACTTTTTGCTTATTAAATTTAAATGCCCCTATTTTACATATCAAGAAAAAACTGTGTGGGGCTTGTTTTGGGAGGTGGGGAGAGGGGAAGGCAAAGAATGGAATTCTATATGGGTTTTTTGGTGAGGTTTTTGTTTCTCAGTATGTTGCAGTTCTTTTAAATAATTAGCCAAGAAAGTCCTGAGTGTAGAAGACAGTCAAATCACCTCTATTTCATCAACAGCACAGCAAGAAAACTGTTGTGCAAAAGGAATTTAAACGTAAAAAATTAAAGAAATGAAGTCAAATCAACACCACTGTTTCCATGGCAATATGAAAGTGCTATACACAAAAGCAAACTGCAATACAAGTGCATATTCCATTTTCCCTATAAATATTAAAGCATCAAGGGACAGATCACTGGGTACTGCAATATTCATCTCTACATGAGGTGACAACTTAAATGGACACTTTCCTGCTTGTACAACCAGCAGAGCTGCAGAATGATGTAAATGAAAGGAACATCAACCACCAACACTGCCTCAGGGATCCAGCAGCCAGTGCAAGATTCCTCCATCACCTGGAGGCTGACAATACAGTGGGGACACAGAATAACAGGCTACCATCTTCTTAGGTGTTGAAATAGTTGTGTCAGGCTTTGAACACTTCCAACTTTTTAACTTGGACAAAGACTTTCTCCAGTAGAGTCAAGACAGCAGTTTATGTTGGTGTTAGCTCAGCTGTCTGACTAAGGTTGGCTGGCAAAGCACACCTAAACTGGAGAAAGTTTTTTAATTCTACAGCTTTTATGTTTGGGGTGGGGTGGGGTGGGAGGAAAGAAGGGGGAAAAACCCACAACCCACATCTATACTTCTCCACCTTTCAAAGTTTCATCCAAAAATGACAGCTAATTACCCATTAAAATTCTGCTTCACTATCTACAAAACAGAAAAGGTGATTGTCTAGTCTGTGTATTACTTTACTCTTAAGAATGCATATTAAAAATGTAGGGGCAATTTCAAGGTAGAAAATTAGTGTAAAGTTGCTTTAGATTTGACTTATACTTTTCTCACATCAACAATTCTAACTGGACTCATGCAGAGCATGCCACTGTCAGCAGAAAAGGAAATGTTTTGGTTTTCTGCTGAACCCAGGACACATTTTACAATTAAAAGGCATTAGTTGGTCACTGCTCTACCTGAGAAAGAAGCACAACTGTCAATCCCTTTACCCTCTTGAGGCTCCAAGAATAAAACCTCACTTCTTTCAATTTTTTAAATGCATACCTAGCAGTATGTAGGGTATTCACATGACATTATTTCCCCAGAAATCCCTACATGAATGTGTTAATGAAATAACAGTAATACAGTTTGGAAAGTAACACAACTCATAATGGAAAAAGCTCAGGCTTCTGTCACATGAAGGAAAAAAGCTCAGCAGCTTGGGTTTTGGAGAGATGAGTTTTCTAGTCATTGAGCAACTCCTGCATTTCTTATTCCTGACTCTGCATTAACCTATTTATTTCAACTGCCTGCATACAACACTGGACAGCCCTGCTCAATCCACTGCCAGCCCTCTCACCTACTAAAAGCTAAGCCTCCCATTATTCCAACAGAAACAATTAGGCTTTGATGACACTATTTTTCATGGCACTTAATACCTTCAAAAGTGTCTCCTGTTACGAAACTCAACAGGTTCAACCACCATTTTATAAAACGAACTCTTTATAAAAGCTGATCTGTACCTTAAAGTGCCTTCTGATGGGTCCTGCATTTTCAAGGTGTCCTCTAATACGTCTGTGGGGGTAAGTGTCACTTGATTTTGAAGCATAGTAAGAATTCTAGAAGGAAAACAGTAATAACTTCATGTTAATAAATTGTTCAAGAAAAAATATAAATTGTTCAGGTTACACTAACAAATATTGCAACACATTCAGTCTTGTACTGTTTGACACAATGACACTCTTTGAAGGAACTGGAGTAACAGGAGCATTGAGCTGAAGGGCCAGCAGAGTCCACAGAAGCTAAAGATGATACAGACCATCCTCCCAGAATGCCTTCCTCTTGGAGAGATCAAAGCAGCTGACAACACAATTAAGGTTCTCCATCCCTCCCTCCCTCCCAGAACAAATGCATGTATCAAGTAGAGAAGTCATGGCTTGCATCAGGAACAAGGGCAACAGGATTGGCTCTCTGGAGCTCCTGGTTAGCACAGGGCCATCACCCCTCTGTGTGTAGCACACACACACCTCCACAGCAAACAAACAATGTGTAGCACATTGAGGTCCTTAGAAAATGCTGCTTTGAACTCCTCATTTCAAGGGAGCATTTGAGAATTGCTTGCCTGCCACACAAGCACAATTTCAAAAGCAAGTTACACAGACAGCTAGTATTGAAATTGTTGTGTCAACACACTGAACAGCTGTAATCACACAGCTGTGGTTGCCTAAAACAGAGCACTCCCTCAGCCACTGACCTACCTGCACACTTTGGCTCTTTTCTAACTTTCCCTATGACAGCTACTTCTAGAGGATGTCATTCCCATCCATCATTGCATATGATCACCAATATTTACAGAGGCATTGGCCTGTACTGGCATATATTGAAGTCCTTTATGAAGACAGAACAAACATGCTAATGAACTCTAAGCAACTAAAGAAATTTGTCTATGGTTCATTCTTGAATAATCACAGAAGCATTCCAACACTGTTGAACTCTCTTAATAGAGGAAATTTCATCAGCTTGAAATAAATTTTAAAAAGAACCTAAGAAGAGAACTCCCCTGAAATATTTCAAAAATGCTAATATTAAATAATAAATCCAAATGCATACTTTGCTGTTCTCAGAATTTCTGTCCTCTAACAACTACGAAACCTTTCTGGTAAAACTGCTAATAATGGATTTATTGGAGAGAGAGGGTGGCTATAAATGCAATGGAATTATGTTAGAATCCAAGATAACTTTTTAAGTTAACTTTCTTTTTTCTTTTTTACACTATGTTATTGCCTACTATTCAGCTTCTTACAATGCCTTGACAAGAAAGGATTTGGAGAACAAAAAGAGAAGAAGAAAGATTTTATGAAGTGAGATCAAAATGGTTTTTGCAAGAAAAAGATAGGAACTTCCCAGTTCCCTTCTTATTCTAAGAAAATAAAGACACTCCACAAAATCAAATTAACTTTCTACATACAACACAAATCAGGAAGCTCCTAGCTGAAGTACACTCTTCCTTTAAGCTGGGAATCCAGCAAGAAGAAAAAAAAATTAGAAAAACTTCCCATTATAGTTCAAAATAAACCTCTAGGAATTAAAATAAAGCTTGCCTTAATTAACTCTGGATACAGCCCTCCCCATCCCCACCTTCCTTAAGACTAAAATACATTCACAGAAATATTAACATTAGAACTACTTGATGCAAAGGTATAGCAAACCACTTTTTAGGAAGTTCTTAAACCAGAGCCTTAAAAAAAAAAAAAAAAGGAGGAGGAATACACATGTACACATGTATGCTTCTGATTTTCTACTTCACTCTTTAGCTGGCCTCCTTTTGTCAGGAGGGGACAAGGCTAAATGGACAAATCTTACAATCAAGTTTAGATACACAATTGTACCTTTCAGGCCTAAGTTTTTCTCAAGTTTAAGCTCAACTCTCAATTACTGAATATTAACATCACAAATATTATATTTTGATTACTTAATTAAAGCTTTTTATTTCTGTACTTGTCTGCAAACCAGCCTCTGAAAGGCTGACCATTAAGAGCCATTCTGTCTTTAGGATGTCTTGCATTTTTAATACCTAAGCTTTTACACCTACCGTTGTTCCAAAGGAATTACTCCTTACTGCAGTGCAGGACTTTCTAAAAGCTGCATGTTTGCAGTTCACTATTAAATAGAAAATGCAATCTTCCTGAATCTTCACCACATTTAGAAATAACTCAAGTGTTTTTTTCAAACCAACCTCCTTTTTATTTGCAATTACAGTATTACTGTGGTGAGTTAACCTTGGCTGGATACCAGGTACCCACCAAGCAGCCCCATCATTCTCCTTCAGCAGGGCTGGGAGGGAGAAAATAAAATTTTAAAAACCACATGGGTCAAGAAAAAGGCAGTTTAATAAAGCAAAAGCAAAAACTGCACATAGATGCCAGGGAAAATGTAAGATTTCTTCTCTACTTCCCACCAGCAAGCAAGGTGCAGCCACTTCCCAGGAAGCCAAGTTTCAGTGCACAGTGGCTGCTCCAGAAGACAAATGTCACAATAACCAATTACCTCCCACACTCTCCTTCCTTTCTCTGAGCTTTTATTATTATTATTTCCTTTCTCCTGACTGAGCAGAGGAGGTCATATGGTCAGTTTGGGTCAGCTGTCCTGGCTATGGTCTCTCCCAAGACCCAGGCCCAGGCTGGGAGTGGGGTGGGAAGCAGGAGAGGCAGCTCTGCCATGTGGAGCCCTGCCCAGCAGCAGCCCAACACTGTGTGCTACCAGCACCTTCCTGCACAGGGCAAAGCACAGCACTGGGAGGGCTGCCATGAAAATGAACTCCAGACCCAATGCAGTTACTGAGCCATTGGCACTTGCTTTGGGAGACCTGAATCTTAGTCTTGAATAAGTAATGGCTTTTACCATTAAAAACTTGTGGTTTTTTACACTGAAGGAGGCACTTTTTTATCTGCAAAGCAGCTACATTTGGGAGTTGACTACATGAAAGCTTCTTTTCATGGACCTCAGAACTAAGTTTCATGGACTCCTGGAACCCTCTCCATAGGGTATTAGTTACAGTGCATAAAGAATGTCAACTTATGTTAGTGTCCTTCTTATTTTGCAGCCATCAGAAAAAAAAAAGTTTAGGAAAAAAAATTATTTAGAATTATACTGCACACATTAAAAAAGCTTTTCTGATCTCACCAGTTCCCCAGGTTAAACAAGCACAAACACCTGGAACTGATTACAGTTCTTTAGAACTTTCCACAGGAGACAAATTTACTTGTACTGGACCTAATGTTATTGTCTTGCCCACTTCAGTATTGAAGTAAACTGCAGAAAGATAGCCTACAGTATAGTTGTCCAAAACTAGGTTTCATAAATGCAATATTATTCAAGAGATGTGACAATGCATTGTTTAACATTTCATCCCCAGGAACATTTTTCAGATAATTCTTGTTATTTCTGTAATTTGCTCCTCATTTTTATTTAAAATTAGTGCTTTTCAGAACTTTTATCATAATGAAGAGAAAAGAAACACTGTTTCAGTAACAATACCACCCACACAAGATTCAGGCCTTCCCTTTGTACCAGTGACAACTAGAATGCAAGAAAGTATTCTTTTTTCTCAAACTACTTAACATTAGCTCAGATTATCTGCTCAATAACAAGGCCTACTATTTTATAATTTAGGTAATTACACCATTATGTGGAAGAAATGTGATATTAGACACAAGCTTCTTTTATGAAAAGAAAAGGAGTGGTATCAAAGTGGTTTTAGTTCAGATGTACTAATCTCTGCTTCAAAAACAGCTGAGGAAGTGCTCTTGCACCAGAACTGTGAAATTATGAGTAGTTTCATTGTTGAGCACAGAAAGAAGATAAAAAGTCTCACTCAAAATTTTAAAGGGCAAGATATCACAGATTGTTAAATTTACATCAGCATAGACAATGAAGCAAAATATTCATTATACATCAACAATGCAGGAGCTACTATTTCTACATTTAGGCTTACCAGATGAGGTCTCCCAATAAATTTCCTGAAAGGTGGCTTAATAAACCTCATAGGCTTTTGGAAACCATCAACTTGAGACGTTTGTAACTTTGAAAGACTGCAGCTTTGCTGGTTCCTGATGCATGAGAGAGAGAGAGTGTGAGAACAATTAATATCTAAATCCACAGCATATCAACACCCTGTATTTTAAACTGGCTTATTCTAGCATCTGTATCACAAATGCAAAGTAACAGCTTATAAGTAATTTTCCTAGGACAATCCAACAAATCCCTAGTCCCAGCTCAAAGAATTCCACGGCAATGTGTACTCTCTTACGGACGGCAGAGGAGCAGGGACGCTGCCCGGTGAAGCCCCGGCTCTGCTCCCGGCTCAGCCGTGCCGCGGTCACTGCTGCCCTCGGCCGGCGGCAGCGCTCCCTGCACACAACTCCCGCCCTTCCACGACATTCCCCATCCCACAGCAGCGTTAGATGAACACCCACATCCTCCAGTTTCATCCTCAGCAAGCAGCTGATTCTGCCTTTGGGCTTTTGCTTGCTTGTTTTTAACTGTTTTGTTGTTTCTATGTTTTTTTTACCAAGATTATTGCTAATACAGATGCATCCACAAACTTCTAAAAAAAATATTTACCATGAAAAGTAACCACTAGAAGTCAGACTTTGTATTTCACAAAACACACAGGAACAGTTTTCATAGCTGCAAACAAGTTAAGGAAAAAAACAGCAGCACACTTGATAAGCTCAGAGGCACTGCCAGTATCTCCTGTGAGCTATTAAAGCCTCTCAACCTCAGGAAAATTCTATATATCACTCATGCCATTACTGCCCTCAGCCTGGAACCCCTGACAACAAACTCCAGGACATCCATACTTGGCAGGGAAATTTACACTTCTCAGAAAAGATAAGCAGGACAATAACTGAGGAAGTGTGTTGGTGGAAATAAAGCAAGTCCAGGGATTTTTTCCTCCACTTGTTAAGCTTAACATTTTTGATTCAAGAATCCCAAATTCAAGAAATTTCTTCTACAGCTTCTTATGTTTTTCCAAATGTGTGTATTGCCATTAGTTGCTATTACAGACTGCATTTAAAATGAACAAGGAATAGCACTCAAAGAAAAATCTGCACAAGAAACTATGACTATTGTGTGGATACATTTTATTACACTCTGGAAATTCATTAATCAACATTTCTATTAACAGTCCCTCTCTCTAATCAACCAACCTCACAACATCAAAAGTGAAACAGGATGACTGAGGTTAGCAAACACCTTTGGGGCAAAAACTTTTAACAAACCTGCTGGAGGAATCCATAGGACTAAACCGCTATTCCAAAAATCTAAGTTTTCAAATTCTCCAAGAATGAGAAAAATTCCAATTATTTGCTGATAGTCCACATTTTATTACCAAATCAGTAGGGCAACAAAACAATATATTCATCCTAGAATGCTTTTACAGAACTGCAAAATACCAAGAGAATGGCACATGTAAGAGTTTAAAAATCTCAAAATTTTTCAAACTAACTTTGTCCTCTCTTCTCATTCAGTACTAGTTTGTGCTTGCTTTTCATTTTCACCCACTGCAGTTTAACCTCTTTCAAGGTAACACCTCATTACAGAGTAGTTTGCAATCTATTGGATTCAATAGTTCAACAGTCAGTTGGATTTCAGCCCCAGTCAAACTTATAAGGCCTAACTGGAAAAGAATCACCACAAATGTGAATGTAACTGTGCAAGGGCCCTAAAATGAACAAATAAGGGAACTATAGGCTTGGGCCAACAAGATTATTTGCTCATTACCTTGGAGTTACACCATCTACATGAAACACTCTCTCATCTTCATTCTTCAATCTCTCTTTTCTTCTCCTTTCTATATCATACCGTAGATCATTTGGATCTTCTAACACTCTTATAATGTTCTAGTTAAAAGGAAGGGTTGAAGCCAAGTTAGCTGCTAAGAATTCAACACCAACCTGCTTCTGTCCTTCAGGGGCACCACCCTGTACATAACCTGCAAACAGGTTCACAGCAACCCAAGGATCCAAAGCCTAAAGCAATAAAAAGTGGTCCTAAAAAATTATCCTTCCTTGCACCATCTGCCTTTGTACAAGTTTCCAAACAACAGTGCACAGAGCACTGGAATTCTGCATGGAGTTGCCAAGGCAGAAATATTTATGTAAGTTTCAGTAAATCTTAAGTTCTACTATCCTTAATCAAGGAGAATCTCCATGTACCTGTACTATAGAAAAGGAATGGTTACTATATCATAGCAAGCAGAGCTTTAAAGGGGAACATAGAAAATCTTATGAGCCCAGATGAAAGCATGGGATAAAATAGCATTCTGAGGAATTATGTGGACTTTCAGTCATCGTAACATTAGGGTAGAAGAAACATTAAGGCTTTTTTTAACTCAGAGGAAAACCAAGAACCACACATCAGTCAGGGACTCGGTATTTACATTACTTAAAACCAGACAGGAGTTCAAGCAGCAGGAATAATCACACTGCAGCTACTCAGGAGAACACATCTGCATTTTACTGCTCAGTGAACACAGTACCACATACTGTGGTATCTGTAAATATGTTCAGATGTGCATTTTTTCAAAACACCCAGAACTACTGCTGGTCTTCACTGCATGTAGAAATTATGTCTCAACAGCAAGGGGAAAACATTGCTTACATGTATAATGTATCTATAATAGCAACTTACTGCTTGCCAAAAAAGTTAAGCAACCAAGGTACCTGGTGGGACTCAGATGGCACGGTTCGTTTGTTCTGAAGTTCTGCTAGAGACATGTCAATCCTCCTGGAACACAAAAATACTGCATAAAAACAAATGCCATCACTGTAAAGGCAAAAACATTCTTGACCAGGCTACAGAATGTGTTAAAGGTACAGGCAGGTTAAAATAATTAATAAAAACTTCACACTGTGTAAAGCCTACTGAAGATTAATTACCTTAATGCAAATAAATTAAGACCAAAAGTTCAACAACTACCTGTGAATTTCTGGATCCAGATGAGTTTTCACTTCTTTTGTATTTGCACTTGATTTATCCTGAATTTTTGAGAACCGTTCGTGCAGAGTTATGTCAGAAGATGCAAAATAATTTGCTGTGAAGAGATATTAAATACAAGAATGTTATTTGTAGTATTTGAAATGCACAGTGGGAAAATCTATCTTTTAAAAGATTAATACTTAAGGATACCATGACAAATCTATTGAAATGAAATTTCAAACTATTTCCACTTGCAGTTTAATATTCACAAATGAAAGATTAGGCCAGCCCAACTTAGATACCCTTATTTGATAAGATTAAACTCAATTGTCAGCTCTACCATGGTAGTACTCAAACTACTTGAATCTATATATAAAGATATACAGATTCAACACTGAGCATGATGCAGCTGCCTAAACACTAATCTGAAAATTTAAAGGAACTATACATAACTAGAGAGCTGTGGTTACAGCAAAGCTCCCTTATTCCTGCCATGTTTTCTAAACAAGCAGGTTACTCTCCCATACTAGCATAAAATCATTTGGATCTTTAATCTCCACAATAATGCCTCAGTTATGGCCTGAGACCTTCCTGCAGTCATCCTCCAACCAACTACTTTAAATCCTCAACCCATATTTTCCTTAAATACAAAAGGAAGCCAAAATACAAACAAAGCCAATGGCAAACACCTGAGATTTAAAGGGACCGCATATCTAAACCACCAGCTTTGGATTTAGTAATCTACACTTGTAATGTGTATGTATATATATATACACACACACACACACATATATATATATATATATAGGTGGAATATATACATTAACATACATATACTTCAAATACTACAGCCACCTTTAACTTGATGAATAATTGTGATTATTTCCTGAGTAAATTCTTTTGAAGGGTCGTTTTCAATGTTTTGTTTTACAGATGCCATGTGCTCAAACACTGGATGAAAATTTTCTTTTTTTCTGCCAACAGCAACCAGATCATGGGACATCTGTCTCTCTGTAGTGTGACTAGAAGCAGTCCTACAATAAAAAAAATGCAAGGTTTATTTTAAAGCAAATATCTAAATCTGAAAACTTGAAATAGACAAGTAGAATAAAACAAATTAAGAAGTTCATTTTGTGAATAAATGGGATTAAAAGCCAAAACCTTATTTTGTTCTTTTTTAATTAAAAAACTAGTAAGGCCAAAAGGAAGAAAATCTATCATAAAATATGAAGAGATAATTTCACTCTCAGGAATCTTTGTTTCTGTGAAGTATGCAATAGAAAATTTGTGACTTTTAAATTTAATTCAACTAGATTATCAAATCTAGATAAAAATTAAGATCTTGACAGACATCTTTAGAATAACTCTGAAATGCAGTTATGCCTGTGTCTTGTTTAGAAGGAACTACCAGGCAATTTTCAAGAACAGTTCAGAGATAAGAAAAAAAGTCTCAGATCTTTAGGAACTGAATCATCACTTCAGCCTAGTGAAACAGCAGTGAAACTGCTTCAGTAGCAGTGTGTGAAAGAACGTGCTTGCCATCTTTTTGTAAATTTTTACTCATTCTAAGTAAGTTTACACACCAAATGGTTGCACTGCTGCTCAAAGATTATTTTGACAAGAAAGCCAACACCTCAACAACCATACTGTTCTTGCTGCAAGGAAAATGCCTGTCATTCTAAAATATAAAGACTCTAAGAGCTCAGATAAAAGATTTTAGGATGAGGACTTTTAATTGTTCAATCTGCAAAGTGATTATGTGCCTGGCCACACTGTATTAGAAGCATACAATACTAGAATTCCATACAAAAATTGCATCAGAAATAGCCTCTAGCAGATGCCAGAAATAATCTATTTTTCCCTAGCAAACTGGGAATAAATGCATGCAAGAAGGAATCCAAGCAACCTCAGGTTTATCTACCTGCTCCCCAGGTTTATAAAGAAACTATTATTCTCAGCTGAGTCATTTCAAGTCAGGTGTTTCTTAAATGCCTAAAGTAATATGAATATTCCAAGCCGTCAGCTTCTGTAAAATTAATGTTCTTATCTTGCAAAAATAAAATATTTAGCACTTCTGGCTGCAGAAGCAAACCATCCATATATTAAATCAGCTGTAATCAATGCAGAGGTTTCTTTGGTCTGCAAACAACTACCATGTCCATTGTGCATGACCTTCAAAAACAGCAGCAAGAGTCTCCTAGACAAAGGAATCATCCTATGGGTTTGCAACAAAACCCAACAATTGTCCTTACATTATCATTCAGGAAGTCAAATCCTCATCCTAGCCCAACTGTAGGCAATGGGCATTACTCCACTTCCCCTTCCTCAGTCTTTAGTATTAGCTCCTTATAGGCAGTAACTTGTCTTTGTAACTCTCCATTGTATTGTATATTTTTTTAATAGTGCAAAGAGAAGAAAATTAATATAGATATTTTATTTGGGACAAGAGGCAAAACACCTTTAAAATGAAGGCTGATCATTTTGGAAAGGAAGGTAATCTCTTCCAAAAGCCATTACTACCAATATAAGATATTCTGGCCTGCAACAGCATGACAACAAGCCAGAAAACCCTGCAAGAACCTATCAAAACCAAGCTGCTTACTCTCTACCGTGTATTTATCACCTAAAATTTTATACTACTGACACTTTTTCTTCCATTGCAGCCAGCACTGGGAATGCTAAATGCAAACACAAGTATTACCCAGAAGACATTTGTAAGCAGACTCTACTGCTTTTCAGTTCTGACGCCTCAACAGGTTGCCACTTTGTTATAACAATAAATGACAACCCTGAGATCTCTCATTTTTTGCAGTTTTACTGAACTTGAAATCTTGAATATCTGAATATGTGCTTGAGATTTATGTATTTACAGGTTAGCTGATTTTTAGAAAAAAGAAGGGAAGACAGTTTAAAAAAGTACTATTGTATTTCAGATGAAAGCACAGGACTACATTTATCTGCATTTGGGTTTTGGTCTTTTGAGGGTTTTGCTTTTAAATAAAAATAACACACTGACTTATCATAATCAACTTCCAACTACAACTACAGGTTTGTATCAGGCATATCTACCAACTACAGGTTTGTATCAGGCATATCTACTCTTTCCACTTCCTACAGCTCCATAAAATGTTGGTTTTTGTTGGTTGGTTGTATTTGTTTATTTTAATAGAGGTTTAATAATTAACTTGCCCAGACAGGAAAGTTACCATTTTAGAAGAAATAAAACCAAAAAGGTACAATCACAGTTTGTCCTTGTCCTAAAGAAACCATGCTTCCCTCCAACATTCATAAACTGTAAAGAGACAGCAAGAAAGCAGAGGTGAAAGAAAACCAATACCTGTACTTGGTCACCATTTTCTTCATATCCACTTTGACTGTGAGATGTTCTCTCATACAGTTGGCCTCTGACACTTTCACATCTGAAACAGTATGACTTGCATCACGCTGGCTATTGGAGGAATCTACATTTTTCCTCAATTCCCCATCTTTCCTCACTCTTTCGTTCAGTTTGTTTTTACAAGACCTCAGCTCAACATCTGTTTTGGACGAGTTAACATAAGCATTGCAGCCCTTCTTTGAGCTGCATTTCAGAGGTTCCTCAACTTGCCGTTCTTCAGTCCGCCTGGCTCTGCCCCCAGGGCAGTAATCCAGCTCCTTGCCATTCCGAGCACCCTTGGAAGAGCCGTACTTCTGCTCTTCCTGCTTCACGTACTTGGGAGCTCTGTCTGCTGCAAAAGGCTTCTCCCCGTCGGGCTGCCGGCGCCGTTTGTGGCTGTACTCATAGGCTATCTTTGGGACAGGCCCCCCCAGGTGCTCCCTCTCGGCCGAGCGCTGCGACTGCGCGCCCGGGTATCTCTGCTCCTCCTTTTCCTGGCAGGGTGGAAAAGAACGTTCTTGCTTCCACTTGGAATTTCTCGCTACATCTCCAGCGTCATACCTCTCCATTTCCTTAGCCCTTTTAGACGCGTGCCCATATTCTCTGTAATCGTGATCTTCAGGATACCTGTGTTGACATAAAGCAATTTACACTTGCACTAGAGAAGAAAGCGAGAACTTATATGTGCAGAATGTTGGACAGCAGAATGCGTGGCCAGTTAACCCATAATCCCTCGCGCCAAGGTACAGATGTGCAGGGGCTCTTAAGAGGGAAATATTATCCTTTCATACTCTAGCCAGCAATACGACTTACTTAAAAGACAAATACTTCACTACTACCAGTCGCCCATAATTAAACTACAAAGTGGCCAACGTGTTTCAAGGTGGATATCTTCAACTATAATGAAAATAGACTTTTCACTTGAGGCTTTACACCACAATACCCAGGGTTTAATTATTTTATTCCTATACCTCTTCTGTAAAGAGCTCCTTGCCGTAAATTCATCAGAAACTCTTCTGGGTGACTGACCATACTTCTCTTCATGTAACCTCTGGTGCCTCAAGTCATCTTCATGCCATTTTCTTTCAAGTTTGCATGAAGCCCCTAACGGTCTATGAAAAGGTTTCATTCCTTTTTCATTTCCAGTGACTTTGTAGTGATCAAACATGTATCTGTCCTCAATTTTGTGCTGGTAAAACGGACGATCATGCTCTTTGTAAGGTACCTCCGAGTATTTTGGTGGTAACTGGCATCTCCTATTGCTTTCAGTCCTTTCAGATGAATGTGTTCTGTAGGGCTTATGACTGTAAGCATCTTCCATGGGAATTCTTTTCAAGTTTGGTGAAGGTGACCTACGTTCATATATTCTCTGGTGGTTATTTCCATGAGGTGCAAACCTGGAATTGCTTTGTCCATACTTTTCATCTTCTGTTCTCCAAGGCATAGACTTTTTTGGGTCCTTACGAAAGCTTTTATATTCACAGTCATAATTAACATGAGCATGTCTTTGCCTATGGTGCTCTGGAGTCCTAAAAGCTGGAGATAAGGACCTAAAGCAAACATAAAATCCACTTTGAGTAGTTCCATAAATTTAAATCGATTTCTTAATGAGAACATCTATTTCCTAAGGAAGTCGAGTTCAGTACAAAATTTTAATCAGCTTGTAAAAATATTAACACCAAGATATTGAAGTGGCATTTTTCTGGCTGAGTACCAGACTTACTTTTACTCTGTTGAAAGTTTTCATAGTAAAAATACACACTTGAAATTGCAGCAAGTCAATCATTTTTGTCTCTTCAAAGTGTTTTATTTAAAACTAAAAATAATTTCATATACATGAAGTTTCCACTACATTGAGAACAACTGTTATACATATTTTTGCACTTCTCAAGCATTCCTTATCTTTCTTTTTCAGTGCAGAGAAAAAAGGGAAGGAAAAAAAAGTGTATAAAGAAATTTAAAAGGGGAGGAAAATGCTTTTTCACATTTTCTTTGCATGCCAAAACAACCTTCGAAACTGAAAGACTGAAACATTATAAAATGTATTTAAATTGTCATACAGGTAGGCTTTTTCCTGAATAAAAAAACAAGTTTGAGAAAGATGCTTTGGCCTTTTGGATAATTGTATGTACATGTTCACACATGTATACACACACTCTTCCACACTCACTGCAGCTTTTGCAATTAAAGATTCAATTGCATCACTCAGCTCTGCATTTTCACCTACAGTTACAAAAACGAGGGCAACCTGTTAGGAATTGTTAGCCAAAATCTCCTTAAAATAAAGAAAAAACAGCACAGGCCACTAACGACAACCAGAAATAATCGCAGACGTAACAGTCCTGCTTATATTCAAGTATTCACTGCACACTCTTTACACACTGTTTAATAAAAAAACATCAAAAACCAAGTTGGAATAAGCTGTTTCCTTTGTGCACATATTGCAAATGAAGAGTTTGGAAGAACTATTTTCTCCATTTCTGCAAATGAGTTCAAACTCAGAACCACAGATGTTCCTAAAGCCATAATGGCTGATTTCCAACAGCACCTACACTGTGGCTGCCATCCCACATTGGTCTGGTTAGGGCTTGCATCTTAATGAGAGCTGGGGCTGCCCTTACTCAAATGACATTCACAACTCTCAATCTAGTGTGGACATAGGTAGGATTTCCCTTTTTAAAAACAAAAGAAACAAGTGAAGAGCCCTACACATTTTTCTGAGTTATCCAAACTCCCTTGGTCTTGGTCATCACAACTGAAGTCTGTTTTGAAGAGATACCCAAAACCAGCAGTAATTTCACAGTCTCAAAAGCTTGCAATTGTATTCTACCCTCCTGATTTTAGCACCTCAAATTTGTACTGCAAGTCTTAAAAATGAGGCAGGTAACTCCCAGCATGAAGCAAGCTGGATGTTATCCTGGTGACAAACGTCAAAGACACGCGCTACCAGGCTGATGTCCAAGGAGAAGGGCAATGACTCCCACATTTCCACGTGCTTTCACTCTCTGTTATGCTGCAAGGCATGTCTAACTGTGCTAAAGATCAGCTTACAAATCAGCCCCTAACTTCAGAAAGTCCGAGGTGTTTGAACCAGAAAACTTTAAAAAAGAAAAAAAAAACCTGATTTTTAACAGCTCCTCGCTGTAGGCCAAGAAATAAAACAAAAGCGAGTTACAGACATTCAGTGCACAAGGTGGTGCTTGAGAAAAAATGACCCTAACTAGTTTGGAGCTTGGATTTTGTGCTCAAGGTAGTTGCAAATCCCAGAATACAGAAGGTGAAAAGGTTCTTAGACTGCAAAAACTGAACATTTCCACCTTAAGAGAAATTGTAATAAAATCACAAGTTGGGAAAAAAATTACAGGTGTTCAGCTGTACAACAAACTAGAGATTTCAAAACACACTTTACAAACTGCAATTCTGCATGCCATTTTCTTTCTTTAATGCAAGTTTTAGGCCCTAATTATAAATCCTTACACAGAGCTACATTTCAGAACACAAACTGTAGATACTTACCTTGGTTTCCATCGTGGTGATCTTGATCTAGATCTTGTCATCTTCTCTCATGTGTTTATCAGTTTCTTGAAGCTGTAAAAATTATATAATTTACTATTCTAATTACAAATTACATCAGGAAGTTTTTTTAACAAGTGTAGTACTAGAAGCTTCAAAGTTAGGGTGAGGATATTTTTAGGATGTTATACATCAAAGGCAAAACTCGAATACCAATTTTAAGCAAGCAACTTTTCTCTAGTTGCTGATCTTAAAACACAGTATATTTTCTTTATAAAGATTTAAATATTTGATCATTGTTCCATTTTTCTCTCAATTTTTTAATGCTATTAATGTCTATTCAGCCTGCTGTTAAATGCTAATAAGCTCACAAGCAAGCTGCAGCAATGAAAAATACATTAGTATGTGTTGAATGCTGTAGATGACAGAGGGGACAAACAAACAAAGCTTTAAAAATAAAGTTTATACAGGAAAAGGTTTTTCCATCAAGTTATATCCTGAGCCTCATACATACTGAACTTCAAATTTGTCATATACATCAAAATTTTTACATGATTGCAGACTTTTTGTAAACTTCTTGTAAACTTCAACTATTCCATCAAATCTTAACTGCTAGGTTATCACATACTCCATCCAAAACCAGGTACAAAAAAAATCACTTTTTTTCATTGTTGTACTTCACCTGTTAATAACCTACTAACTAGACACACACCAAATAATGGATGCACTATGACAAAGTGCTGCCCCTGACTCCTGAAGGTAGCTCCTGACAACCCTTCTCATAAAAGCTATGAAAGAATGAAAACAAAACCCCTAGGAACGTCATAAAAAAGTGATGAAGGTATATACAAACTCACCAGTAATGGACTGGTGAACAGGAATTAAATGACTGTTCATTATTCAGCAAAGACAAAGGATTAAAGCAGAATTAAATTACTGGGTAACTGGTTAAAAACTGAAGTTTGGACAACATAACCATGCCTACAGATTTAGTTACCACAAAATGCTCTAAAGGCCAGAAATATAGATGCAAAAACAGATCTATCAACAGCTCTAAAGTTAATGAACAACCAACCATTTGAAACTGAAAGAATGCACCCAGGTCAATGCCAATCTATATATGCTATGGTATTTTCTGTAGCTTTTTGTACAAACACTCAGGGAGACAGAGAACTAGTCTGAGCTAGCAAAGTATGGCATTTCTGACACTCCCAGCGCTCAAATAATTCCTTTAACTCAATCTTTTGCCTAATGAACTGAAACTGAAAAGGGAGAAAAACACACCAAGCTCTAAGGCACTACCTGAAGTAGTGTGACCCACATGCCTGACCCAGCGCCTCACACCCCTCAGTCACACTGGCTGCTCAAACAAAGTATCACTCCTTGCTATACTTGACTTTTTGGTATGATTACCTCATGGCTGAAACAGTAGGATCTTAAGAATATACAGCATACTTCTGCTGCCTATCCCACTGGCAGGCATTAGACAAGCCACCTCCTAAACTACAAACTGCTCGTTAAGCTAACCAGATATTTATTTGCAAAATGTAGCAATAGCTTACTTCTGAAGACAAACCTGTATAACTTTTTTTTTTTGCTCCAAAATCAATCTTTTCATGTAACAAACCACAAGGTTGTAATTGTTGCAAGAGATAGTGAAGCAAAAAGAATCCAACTCCAAAGTACCCCAAGGACAAGATAAAGCATTTGCTCCCTGAACTCTCAAATATGAAGTTATCACTGCCTCTTATAGCCTGAAGACATATCTGAGGACTGCACAGCATGATTAACTTCAGGCCCTTTGCTTACTTGAAGTCATACTAGTCAAAGTTAGATATGATGCTCCAATGCCACTATTCATTATTTTTCCAAGAAAAGCAATATTGTGATCTATATTCCTATATTTCACCCATGAAAATACATCTTACAACAGTATTTCAGAAACAAAAACAAAAAAACCCACAAAAACAAAAAAACACCACAGTCCCTGGGTAACATATTCCAAATGCGGTACATGTCCAACTTCAAAGATTCACTACTACCATCTCCATGCCCAACAAGCTTCAAAGATTCACTACTACCATCTCTTCTGGTAAATTTTAGAAGAGACAATGAATGTTTTTACATGCCAATCGAATTCTTTCTTCCTACCTTCCCTTCAGTCATGAACTTTATTCTTAATTTTCAAATGGGTATGTAAACACCAAAAAGACAAAAGTACCATTAAACTCCACCCAACTATCTGTACAGAATTTGATCTGCCAGACTGATAAGCTAGAAACTGGGCACACATAATGACCAATTCCTTATTCTTTGAGACTGGCTAAACAATCATACCTAAAAGCGTGAGAAAGACTGTGACAGCACATCCTAGATCTTGCCTTAGGATAAGGAGGACTGCTGTAATTTCCAATGATGACATTCCTTTTGTTTAGTGGAAAGAAGTGCTCATCTCATGCACCTCCTAAAAATGACCCACGCAGTAGGATTTCCTCACAGAGAAACACACCATATGAAGGCAGCAGTCGCTCCCCCGCAACAAGGCTCCCAGTGTAACACCAGAATTGCAAATCAATCTATACAGAATTTGTAAACTTTGCTAAATCCAGGTTTAAGTCACCTTTTTATGGTTCCATAAAAAGCAAGTTTTTTGTAGGATGGTATCAGGTAGCAAGCCTGTCTGTAGCAGAATTACTTGACTCAAGTGAAGGCCCTACAGTTTGCAAGTAAGGCATCCAGGTGCTTCTGAAAAGACAGGTCATGATGGAGCAGAGGTGCCAGGGCCTGGCTGCTCTGGGCTCTGAATTTCTCCAAGATGTTCTGCTGTACTTTGGGAGCCACTGTCACTATGAAAACATGAAGTGTTGAAATGCATGAAATAGAAGCCTCTCTGAATCGCTCAGAGAGAGAAAGGAATGCAGGGATTGAATTGGTACCTTTAGAGAAACTGAAATATATTAAGCCACACAGACATGAAGTAGGAGTGCAAGTTTTAGTTTTAAGTAAGTAGAAATATATCTTAAGTGCCTTAAGAGACTGTGTTAGCTAGTAAAAAGCCCTAAAGCCTAGTTTAAAGTTCAGTAGTGATACCTTTCAAAGATTAACTTAGCTCCAGACATAATGAAAACATAGCAGAACGTTGCTAACATTTCTAGACAGAACAGACAGAACTACATACATAGATTTTGTGTAACAACTGACATTATTTTCACACATTAGAATTAAGCTCAGATAGCTGTAGGAAGAATGTTTTAGAACCGTGTTTTTACCTGACTGGATGATTTATGAATAAAATCCCTCTGTATTGGGGTGCAAAAAAAGGTGTGGTAGCAGCTTCTGCTAGCTGCTCCTGCTGCCTCTGCTCAGAACATCGGGACTCTATGCCAGAAAGCTTTTAGCACAGACTTGACTACTCTGAACTCTTTGCCTTTGAGGCTGATGCATTCATGCAATAAACAACTTTACAACAATCAACAACTGCCCCAGTCTCTTTAAAGACCTAAAACCCACACATAACTCGACAATGAAGAACTATTTTTTTAACTAAGCAGCATTATTAGGTTCAGAGTGCTGCTTGTGTTTGTTAGTTACAATAAGTGACTCATTGGAAGAGTTATCAGTAACTATGCTTAGATAGTTTTTAAATATTAATGGGACTCTCACCTTTTATTTTCTTTCCCTTGACTTTTGGAACTGGACTCAGACAACTTCCCTCTTGGGAGAAACGGCCTCAAGCCTGCTACCAGCTCTCCTTTAATTCCACCCTTGGGATATTAGTGTTTTGACAAGTACAAAAGTCTTTAACAAACCTGAAAGGAGTATCTTGAGACAAGTAAATCAAAAATGACCAGAAATTGTATGGGATGTGCCAATTTGAACATATGTTCTTCCAGAAAGGCTGCAGATTTTTCACAACTAGCACTCCTGAACAGAACAATCTTTTATCTCTTTACTTTCTCCAGCATGAAACAAGAAATCACAAATGACTGCAATCATCTAGCTGCACAGAAGGGAACTGGAGCTCTTTCTAATGCAAAGAGCCCCAAATTAGCAAGCCCCAAACAGCCAAAATCCTGCAGGTAAGAGCACAGAGTGAGTAGAAGCAGTTAACTCTGCTGGAGCAGACTATAAATGTGTGTTTTACATGACTTTCTGGTGCCCTCCATCATCACTTGGAACAGATAATGGAAGAAACCTTATTCAGAACACACAAAGGGCAAACCAATACTAATAGTGCTCATCACCAGGGAGCTGCTCCTCAATGCCTCTCACCTACAGTGAAGGAAATGTCCTCCCCCACCCCTTTTGGAGGGATTGCCTGATCACCACCACAAACCTTTCAGAGGAAAGAGGGACAAGCAGGTCTCATAGGCTGGGTGACAAGAAGACTGACACTTGCTGTAAAAACTACCCACACCACTGTTCTCTCTCTCACTTCACCCAAAAAAGGTAAGAAGCAGCTCCAACCTTTTCACTGATCTAGGTGGGGATCAATCAGAAGCTGCAAGAGACACACAAAAGTCTACTGCTGCAGTGTCTGTCAAGAAAGAAAAACCAGGAATTGAGACTCTCAATATCAGGACAATCACGTATTTGACAGAAATACAATCAAATTAAAAGCTCAACTACAATCCAGACTTCAAGTTGGGTTTTTTTGCTGGTTTTTTTTAGGTCTGCAATACAGAAAGTAATTTACACCATCTTCAAATGAAAAGCATAGAATTGGTAACTTCTCCACCATGTAGGTTATAAGAGTTGATTCAAAGGCTGTCCCATGCAGTGCCCACTCCACACACTATCCAAGCAGAACACAAGCCTGGCATGTTCTTGCCCACTCATCTTTGAGGCAAATCTTATCACCTCCAACACCAAATCCTCAGGAAAAAGTAAAAGAGCAGAGAAACATCTCCCAGCAAACCAGTCTCAATATTTCTGAACCTGCAACAGGATTCCTGTAGTCAATGCTTCCAAGACAGGCTTCAGTACCATCCCCTGTTAGCTCTGGCAGCACATGGAGGTGACTCCCAGCTCAAGGCACACCACCTCAGGAAGGACATGTGTAACACTTTGAAAGCTATGAGCTAGAAAAGCCAAGTCAAGTTTAAGTCAAGGGCACACACCCAGCTGACACAAATGGAACTTGGCTGAGGGATTTCTAAACCCTCTTTTAGAAAACAGCAGGTAACAGATCAATGCAAATGACAGAGCCAGATTTCCATCCTCAGTTCTCTCATAGGTCTCTGATATTCAACAATGACTCTTTATGATTACAGATCCCTTCCCCTGGGCTTTTATCACTCTTGGAGCACCTTCCACCTCTCCATGGATATGCTTTGAATCTCCACAATATTTTGTGACAGGTCTGAGGCAACTGCAGTCTCACAGCCTAAATCCTCACCACCAACATCATGAGGGAGATAATCCTTTATATCCCATCTCCACTTTTCATACCATGCTATATTTAAGAAATTTCCAGATCTGGTCCACAGCACCTCCCCAGGCAGCTGTGGCAGAGCAGCTGGGAACAGAGGGCAGCAATGGCAAGAGGCAGCACCACACTCCTGCTGAATGTGTCACCCCTCAAGGTGAGCAGCTCTGATGCTCCGGTTTCTCTGATGAGAGACTGGGCCTCCACAGCAGCAGAAGCTGCTTGAACCTATCAAAACCACATCCACTGTGGCTTCAAAAGCTGTCCTCCTGCTCAGCTTTATCCTTGTTCTTCAGCACAAGCTGGGAAAGGCAGGCTTTACACAGGCTGTAACAGACAACCAGGGAGGTAACTGTGCCAGGCAGGGGCAGCATGTGGGGATTGCTCTCCTCTGCTTGTTACACAAATAGACAGAGATAAAAAAAAAATTATTGTTCCCCCTTACACTAACAGTAGGATGAAGACTTATTACAGAAAGTACAGGCCTAGCTCAAGCATACAGAATTTCTTAGTGGACCACCCAACAAATTTTAAGGAATTGCTTAAAACACATAGAAAGTATTCCCCCATGCCTGCATATTTGAGCAAATGAATAAAAATAACTGAGTAGGTCTACAGAGCATATAACTTTTCAGTGAGTTCTCATTTAAAATCGACCCATTTAATTTCACTAATTAGCAGGCAATGCCTCACCTTTGCAAAAGAACAGATTAGAATGCCAACTTGGAAAGACTGAGCAGGATAAATCCCTATCACATAATAAATAAGGTATTTCACTCTCAAACTCCTTTTTTTAACTAAAGAAAACCCAACCCATAAATATATTAGTGAGCCATTTCTATAACGTGTTGAATTGGAGGCCTTTAACACCTGTTCAGCACAGAACTTCACAGCACCATACCCAGCCACATCTGCTGACCAGTTTCTAAGGGGACACAAGAGGTATGTTAAATCTGCTTGTGTGAGTCTTAGAGACAGACCATAACAACTTCCTGCCTACTGAAAGCTCTCCAAAACAAACCATGATGGAAACCTCTGTGTTTCACCTTGGTGTCACAAACTACCAGAAAACCAAAACAACACCCTTCTTTATTCAGGATCAGTGGTGCTGCAGAGCAGCATTGCCAGGAGGCTGGGAAGCCCAGGCTGCCTTCCCCAGTCACACCACAGAAATGCATCTTTGCTGGAAGGCTCAGGCACGCTTCCTTCCTTCCCTGCTGACAGCAAGCACCTGCTGCCACCCGAGAGGAAAAGCAAAGCTAACAGTGTGCAGCCACATCCCTCACCAGCTTCCCTGCAACACCAACACAGCCTAGGTTACCTCCTGAGAGGTGAACACCCACAAGCCAAGACTGCACCAAAATCAAGCCCATCTTGTCCCAGCACAGGCACATGGAGAGTTGGTTTGATGACTCTTACAAAAGCAGTGGCAGAAATACCAGTTCTTTTGCTGAAGGCAGATGTGGAGGAGTGCACGGACACTCAAGATAGACAGCGGTTTATCAGGATAACAGGGTGTGTCACTGAAGGAAGTTAATTAATTTCAGTTCACCTCATCAACACCAATATTAAAAAAAAAAAAAAAAGGCAAAAAAATCGAAAAAATCCTCAAAGGGAAAGAGTCATCCTCTGCCCAGTCCTGTGCCAGGCTGCCACAACACAACATCCTTCACCAAAGATCCTTCCATGCCTTTTGCATATTTCTTCCCCTCCCTTCCTGGCATCCTCTTCCCTGTTCTTCCTCCAGCCATGCACACCCAGCAAGACTTTCACAGAAGATTCACTTTTCCTTGAGGTCCACAAACACACAAATTAAGCAGGTAATTAAAATCTACCAGCAATTTGAACAGCCTTTGTTTTAAACCCTTATAACTGAGGAATCTGAACTATATTTATGAGGACTTGAGGCATTTAAGAATGGCAGTAGAAATGAGGTGTTGCTGTCCTAGGTGGAGTTGAGCCAAGTGAGGAGACTGCTATCACCAACTCCTCACCAGACATTACCACCCACTCAGATGTGTATGAAAAAATTGTGCATAATCAACTAAATTACTTAAAGAAGTCTCAAAACCCCTCAGATTTGTTCAAATTGGCATCAATTCACCTTGCTGTGGCTTGAATCAATCTAGAAAATACATTAGAAAATACAAACATATACTGAAACTGAGCTATGACTATTACACAAAATCTGTACCGCTCTAAGTTTTTATAAAGACTTTAACTGGTGTGATTCTGCGTGTGACAGTATATAAATTACTGGAAACGGGGACTTTTGGTATTTATGCATTGCTCACCTCTAAGGAGTCCTTACAGTACCGGTGAGCAGCGAGCTCAGCTCTGCGGTGCCGCTGGCCCAGAGGGCTCACAGCAACACGGCTGTTCTGGAACAGTCACGACTCGGGGCCACGGCCACAGCCCCGCGGCCACTCGGGTGTGTGCCCCTGCCCTGGGCTTTGTCCCTGGCCCTCCCAAAGCCCCTTACGGCCCCCGAGCCCCGCACCACGGCACACAGGCTGCGTACAGACAGACAGGCACACACGCGGGGCGAGGCGGATCCGGGTGCCGCTGCTCCGGCTACCCCGCCCTCAGCAGACCCAGGATGGTGCAGCACAGTCCCCGCCGAGCTCCCGTCCCCGCAGCTCCGCTGCCACCGGCCAGCAGCGCCCGGGCCAGCGCGGGGAGCGAGGGCGGCAACTACCACTCACCTCCCCCCGGCCGGGCTGGGCCGGGCCGACCGCCGGCCCTCGGTGGGCGCGGCGGAGGGCGACGGAGCCCAGACCACCCCGGCCCACTCCGTCCCGGGCGCAGGCGGCGCTGACGGGGACAATGACCGCGGCAGCCCCGGCTCCCCGTGCCCGCGGCACCGCCCCCGCCCCCTCGCCGGGCCTTACCAGGCCCCGCCGCGGCCGCGGCGCCGCCACCGGCCCAGCACTTACCGCCTGCGGCGCCGCTCCCGCCGCTCCTCCGGCCGCCGCCGCCGCTCCGCCCCGAGCAGGTGCCCGGCGAGCCGGCGGGGCGGGTCCCGGCGGCCGCGCCGGCCGCGGCTGCTCCGCACGGGCGCGGCGGAGAGAAAGGGCGGGCGGGGGGCGGCCCGGAAGGGGAGGGGCGGCGGGGCCGGGCGGGGGCGGCTCCGGCACCGCCCACTGACCGCCCCTCTCACACCGGGGCCCCTTGGCCGGAGCCCGCCGTGCTGCGCGGGGTGGGATCTGGGCCGCTGGGTCCTGGCCGCGGTAGCGCACAGGACGGGGTGCACTGACCCTTTCCGGGTGACTCCTGGGCAGCCCCTCGCCTGGAATGCCCTGTGGGAAGCAGAGCCCGTGTGTGACACTGGCAGCCAGGAGGGTCAGCCGTGTCCTGGGCACGTCAGGGACAGCATGGGCAGCCAGGAGAGGGAGGATCTGTCCTGCTCTGCTCTGCTTTGCAGAGGCGGCCTCACCTCGAGCGCTGGGGGCAGTTTTGGGCGTCACAGTATTAGAAAGATACAAAGCCATTAGAGAGTGTCCAGAGAAGGCCTACGAAGATGTCAAAGGGTCTAGAGGAGAAACTATTTAAGAAGTGGCTAAAAGCACTTGGCTTGTTCAGCCTGGAAGAGACCTCGTGGTCTACAACTTTCTCATGAGGGGAAGTGGAGGAGCAGGCATTGATCTTCTCTCTGTGGGGATCAGATCAGGCAGGACCTGACAGAATGGCCTGAAGCTGCGTCAGGAGAGGGTTAGGTTGGATATCAGAAAAAGGTTCTTCACCCAGAGGGTGGCTGGGCACTGGAACAGGCTCCCCAGGGAAATGGCCACAGCACCAAGCCTGACAGAGTTCAAGAAGCCCAGGCACATGGCGTGGTTGTTGGGGCTGGCCTGTGCAGGGCTCAGAGATACACTCAATTCTTCTGGGTCCCTCCTCACTGCCCCTTCGGCCCAAGCAGCAGCTGGCAGCGCCTGTGCAGGGCCAGCGATGGCCAGAGCGGGGCAGGCCCCAAGGACCTGGGTTTCCTGGGCAGGTATCACTGGTCTTTCACTGGTCTTGGCTGCACTGAAGTGGATCAGGCAGGAAGTCTGGACCAAAGCCTCCCCGAGGTCCGGGCCCCTGCAGCTGCACCCACTGTGGTGCTGCTCCGAGCCCGCAGCTAAGGCAGCCACGGCTCCCTTGTCCCAGGCTGCTGCTGCGAGGGTCGAGGCGCCTGGCAAGGTGTCAGGTAGCGCTCTCCAAGACTTCTTGCAAGTTCCTGGAATTCTCAGCAGAACATGCACTAGAGGATGGCAGCACTCTCCTTGCCTGGGATTGAATCAGTCTTAGTGGTGTGAAGGCTCTTTAGGCTGCTGGGATGCATTAATTCCCTTGATTGCCAGTCCTGATAGCCAGCAGGCCCAACAGGTTTGGTGTCAGTTTTTCCTTCAGGAGCTATAAACAACAGAATGACACAGTGAACATACTTTCAAAACAAAGTATCTTCTTCTGGCTGAAAACCACTCGGAAATAAATTTAATTTATAGATCACACAAAACCAAGGAGACACTGATGCTATCTAGATTGGATTGGTGTCTGAGGCTGTTGGTCAATGATCTTGAATACTACTTTGGTAGTTTTTTTATTGCCAGATCAACTCATTAATATAAATTTGATTCAGCACAAATGCAGGCACACAATTTTGTTTTAGACCAAGCACGGTTTTGGTGTTGGTTTTGTATTTTTACAGTAGCTAAAGGAAGCCTAGATACCTGATACAGTATCATTACAACTGCAAAGGCAGGTGATATCTGATCTGGTGTAAAGCTTACCAACTTAACCTTGTCAACATTTTTTTAAACAATTTAATTTAAGTCAAAAAAAGAACCAGACTCATCACTCTGTGTTACGCAGTCTTGACATTTTTGATCCGGCTGAGAGTCACAGTGTTGCATTTAACTCTGTCATCAAGCCATGGCCTAAACAGGGTGAAGTTATATTCACTGAATAGAGAGTGGAGAGGAAGGGTTGCTTGCTTTTGGCCCCCCTCAAAGGGGTGGTCTCAGTTTCCTTATGTTCTGACGACCCTGTGTGAGCTGCCAACTTTGGCTGTCCTTTGGACTTTTGGCTGCTGACATCTTCCTGTCCTCCTTTTATAGGACTGATCTTTCAGCAGGGCACTATCTTCAGTTTTCTGTCTTCTCATGCCTGGAGGCTGTAGGTGGGACTGAGGGATCCCTTGTCACAGCTATCAATCCATTTGCTGTCTTTGTCTGCAGGATCCTGCTTGGTTCTCTGTGGACTCAAACACAAGGAATCCCACACGATTTCTGCATCCACCAAAACACTTTGAAATTCTAATATAAAATTATAAGATTATTTTTAAATTTAGCTGTAGCATTTTCCCAATTAAAATGGACTGCAGAAGATTTACTGACCCATAGGGCACAGAATTACAGTGACAAGCTGCACCAAACAACACTTGCTTCCTCTTTGCCACGCTGGAATTTTTGTTAATAGAAGTTCAGGATGAGAATTGACTCTGTGAGATTTAAATGTACAAAGTGAGACTGAAGCAGAGAGATGCCATTGATCTGCACTTTGCCATAAAACCTGCTCCAGCCTGGGTGCCATATAAACATATTGCCATATGTGGCACTGTGTGGGATAATCGCTGTATAGGCAGCCACCCTTTCATTATCAAGATTCAGAAAGTTGAACTAACAGTAGACAAGATTTGGGTTTATTCCCTGTTTCAGCTGGTGTAATGGTTTGCCTGACCTCTGCATGTAGGGGGCTACCTCTGCACTGAGACAAAACAAAGCAGATTTGAAACTAAAACTGAGCTCTCAGTACAGACACACAGCCTCTGTGTGCATAGGGTAAACTTCTACGTGACATTAAATAAATTACCAAATTTCATTATCAACCTATTTGTTTGATGTTGCCTCAGATGATCTTGATCCAACTCATATGTATGGATAGCAGGATGGATACTATCCTGATGGATAGTAAGCACACAAGGATCTCTGTGGTTAACACCATGTAGTCTAAGTGAAAAACAACTTACACATACTTTACAAGTTAAATTAATATTTAAATCCGTGTCTATTAGTAGCTCCACAGCATCATTATTCTTCACCTCTAAATTGGGAAGGCCATTCTATTGCACAAGACTTGGCAATTACTGCTTATTAAGACTAATTATTTTAATCTATTTCCATGTTTTATTTCTAATTAAGTATCATTAGAATAGAGAATCACTTTCATATTCCTTTAATGCTTAATTTAGTAAACATTCCCTTTGGAAAGAGCACAACTGTGGTTTGCATGCTAAATACTTGGAAATGATGAATGGAAGTTACCTAAAATTCAAAAGCAGGAACTAGCCCTTGACAGCAGACAGATCTTATGGATCTGTTCTTTCAAGGAGGCATTTGATTTTCCACATAAAATGTTACTCTTGACACTGACCTTTGCTGAACCATATTATGCTAATTAAAAAAAAAAATAAAACATCTCCTTGATTGCTGACAAGGTCAGGCACAGAAGCAGGCAGGGAACAAGGAAAGTGCTCCCCAGGCTGTGCTGGGAGCATCACCTGGACTTTCCTGCAGTGCCAGGGCTGACCACCACAGCAGCTGCTGCTGAACACCTCTCTCCATTGAGGTGCACCAGATAAATGACATTAAAATCTTGTTGTGGAGTGGTTTGGCTTGGTTGCCATACACAATTTATTTCGCTGTCTACAGACAGAGCCTGCAGATCCTGACAGTTAAAAGGGAAGAGGCATCTTGGAACAATGAGAGAGGGTCTGGTGGAGTCAACACCCACACAATGATTTTGATCCACCATCAGGAACTGCTGTCCAAGGTTAAATCATGGTTTTACCAAGCAACCTCTCATAATACCTAAAGGGAAATGTTTTCTTTTGTACTTCACTACCTTGTTATGCCTCCTGATTAGGTTTGCATGGCTTCATTAACTTGGATCTCTGCTTTTGAAGGAGTTTCACATTCATGATTTCTTCTTCTGCCTCTCATCCATTCCTACCCCTAGTGCAATCAGGACTTTTTTATCAAAATGCTTTCACCAAACCACAAAATGTGTCTCCTGTTATGAAATGAGTGAGCTGCCTAATTCTTTGCAGACATGTTGGGCATTTGCTTCCTCTAATGGTAGTAATAAAAAAAATATTTCTATCATTCAATGGAACAAAATTAGGTAAACCTCTAAGTTCCCAGCACAGGGGCATCAGCTCTTTCTTTTCATTTATAAAAAAATAGCCACTGGGGTTTAAGTCAATTCCTGAGGTTATTTGTCAAAGGAACTTCAAATCTGTTATACCTTATGCAGAAACTTCAAATCTGTAATACCTTATGCAGACAAGACAAGAATATGTTCCAGAATGAAGCAGTAATCCCCAAATTCAGTCATAAGAACTTTAACAGTTTTCTGTGGAACTGTGACACTTTTTCCAGTATAGGCTCCAAGCAATAGATAACTACTTCCTCCTTCACTGAGGAAATACATCCTACATTTTTTAGCCTGGAAATTGAAGGAAAACTGGAAAGTAATTGTTTAATTAAAACCTGAAGGAATGTGAGAGGATGACTAACTGCATGACTTGGCTCTGATAGCATCACTGAATTACCCTTCAAAGACAGCCTCCAGCAAGCCTGGGCTCTCATGACAGTAACAAAGGCAGTGTTTTATTTATAAGGTTATCGTGGCTTTCCTGTAACAACACAGGAAAATGTGCCATTGCTGCTGGGCATCCAGCCCGTGTGAACTTGGTAGGGTGTTGGCAAAATACCAGTGAAAACAATCTCAGTGTATGGACTAATACCAATGTGTGACATAAATGCAGTAAGAGGATTTTAAAAACAAAGGCTTTGAGCTTATCATCCAAGAGGCCAAAGCAGATGAATTTGAGGAGGAAGGCAGAGGTGCAAAAAGGCTGCAATTCTTTCCTTTTGCAAGAGCCGGGTCTTGGAAAGACGACAGAAGAAATTGCAGTAAAACAGCA